CTTCTTCCACGTGGGCTTTCATTTTTGCTTTATCTTTGTTTCTCTTTGAAAAAATGTGCAGGTAAATTTATTTCCTCCTGTTCTCTTACACAAAAGGTAGGTTAGCTGACACTCCTTTTGAACTTTGCTTTGGTATTGGAGCTTAAAGTCTTTAAGCACTTGGTTTGTGACCGGTTGCAGTCTCCAGCAGAAATTCTCATTGTAACTTTTGAATCTTGATTGACCTAAATTAAAAACTTGAGTTCATTTTGACCATGAACCAGGATTGTGAAAAACCCTCTTTCCATAGGGTGTCTTTGAAAAGAGATTACAATTCTCTGAGTCAGCTCAGGGAGGTCCCCCACGCCCATCTGCCTTCAAGGAATTTGCTTAGGTGTGTCCTTAATGATTGTTAAGGGTAGCAGGTGCCAGGGTCATGAGTACCATCAAGTAGCCAGGTGGTCAAAGGGCCCCAGACCAGATACTGTAAATGTTTCTAATCTGCAATTATGCATCCCCACCATAGTCCTTTCCCGGCCTGACACCGTGATCTCTGTAGTCTGGCCACAGGTTGTGGGGTTGATTCTGACTCCCGGCCACTTCATGGACAAGACAGACCTGCCCTGTGGGTTTCTGAGACTGTAGCTCCTTAGGGCAGTCAAAGGCTTCACCTTTCCCTTGCGGGGTGGCTGCTGATGTCAAACTGCTGACCTTGCAGTTAGCAGCCCAACAGGTAACCACTATGGCACTCCTTAGGCTTATTAAAGGGGTCTCTATAAAATGTGTTTGAATTGGGGGTCTTTTTTCCCCTAGAACACTTTTCTCTCTTTTTTCAGGTAACGCTGTATCTTGGAAATCACCTGTTATCAAATCAGTCATATAATTTTAAAATTTAAACAACATGCAATCATTCACCAATTTACCAACTGGGTGCCAACCACTGAGCTCGGTACAAGGGAAATGCATGTGTAAAATACAGTGCTTGCTCTTCCTAACTCTAAAAGAAAGGAGAGACATACACACACAAAATCAACATGATGCTCTGGAGGTCTGGGGAAGGGTGCTTCAAAGCACCAACACTCCACCTTGAAAAATAAAAATGGCACAGAAGTCAGGGGGGATTCAAGGGGAAGACACAGCACATGTAAAGACATGGTTGAATAAGGGCTGGCATACTGTGGAAATGCTGTGCCCTGTTGACACACTGGTAAAGTACTTGAGTGCTAACGAAAGGTCAGCAGTTCAAACACAGCAGCCTCTCTGAAAAAGACCTGCTGACCTTTTCCAATGAAGATTATAAACTAGGGAACCGTCAGTTGCCATTCCGCTCTGTCCAGTAAGAATCAGCTCCAGGCAATGGGTTATGGTGTGAGAATGGGAGTTTTCTGGGCCTACAGCTTAGGATTTGAGTGTAGGTAGGGGGCAAGAGCAGGATGTA